TTGCCATGCGTTTAGCCTTTCTCACCACTGGTTTCACAAGGACTCTCTCTGCCTGGCAAGTTGCTACACTACTAAAAAGATGTTTAATTCAGATGCGTGCATGAGTACAACCGAAGCCTAATTGAAACGTGGAAGGCTTTTCACAGCCAAATCTTTCCTCTTGTACAAATCAGATTGAACAACTAACTCCTTAAGCCTTTAAAAATTAAGCCTATACATCAATGTTTTCAGATGCTGCCCTGCCAGGGCACATTTAAGAGTTTTCTTTAACAGATACAACAGTAGCCTTGGCTTTTCTGTCAGTGATATGGTGGAGAGGGTATATAGCCAAAGAGTAGGTGTGCAGATCTAAAGCTGTGAAAGTACCCACCCCACACTAAACCATCTCACTGCAATTCCAAATGCCAAGGTAAGGGAAAGGCTGTTTCCTTTGAGCAGACCAGGTTACGAGGTCAAACACAGGTTGACATCCACATCCATATCGCATGCACAAGAAGGAAGATGTGCACTCTTACAAGTTGTACCTGCAAGTTAAACTTGAGGATCACGTTTCCAGGCTCCAACTGCCTTTCCCACAGTAGCAGTTATGCTTGCCCTCAATGTTTGTAAGAGAGCCACTGGCACCTCTCAAAAGGCTTCCCTCTTTATCCCAGTCTCTCTCTGTAGAAGGTGATCAAAACTCATCACAAGCACAGCAAGGCACAACTATAAACCATGCCTTTTGTTGAGCCAGCCAACACAAAGTGATTTCTTGGCATGAACATGATTTAGTATGTCCTTAAAAACATCACCTGCTCTGCCTGCTTCGGGATTTACTGCAGGAGATTCTGACTCTGCATGGATAAGCAACGCAGGGAAAAGAGAAGGAAAAGTTGAAATGCATAAGCCTGCAGGGCACCGGGATGAAGTGTGCCCATCAGCCCTGCCTGCTCTGCTCCCAGAGGGGAAGAAGGCAGCAAGGTGACACTCCCCAAGGACTGGAGGCATCTTTGCCAATGCTTTTACTCTGCAGTACTTTTAGGGCCCTGAACCCAGCATTATAGAACACACTGCATGTTTTAGCCTCAATTCTCAGGGCTGAACAGCAGTAACATGAAAGGATCAATCAAAATCCCAGGAAAAACCCTGGAGGATATTTATTTTATGCCCACTTCTGGGTGCTCACTTACTGGGCCTCCTACAAGTAATGGAACATTCACTAACATCTCATCATCCTCGAAACAATGGGTTTACCAACACACCCAGCCAGGCTAGTACATCACTTGCCTCACTCCATCACACCATGGGGCCACAACGTCTGGTGTCCTGCCCCTGTCAGTAGCCATTCCCTGGCATTATAAGAGGCGGAGAAGGGGAGAGTCTTAATGACCCCAGAGTGTAGTGCCCTCCATAAAGGCTGTAAGATGGCCTTTCCAACCCCTGCACCACAGGTTCTCATTTTTTAATGTTAGATTTCATACCCATTTTATCTTTGCATAACTGCATGCATTCACTGCACGCAGGGTTTTATTAATGGGGTTTTTTTATCAGGGTTGCAGGAAAAGGTTTTGTGTTGAGCTCGGTAACGTGGCCCCATTGATTCAGAATAACCTGAACCGCCACAGAGCAACGTTCAGCCTTACCATGCAGTACCCACACAGCAGGCTCTGCCACAGGCCAAAGCTCGCCTTCAGACAAACAAATCCCAGATTCCTCCCTCGTGCAGTTATACGCAGGTAGGAATTCCTATTGCTGCCGCCACCAGGATGCACCTGCAGCTCCCTGCCGCACCTCGCCCATACAGGAATACAGTGGTACAACCCCCTGATCCTCTTGAGCAGGTCCGCATCCTCCATCTCAAACCTTCCCCTCGTTCCCCAGCCTCTTCCCTTCCACAGCCCTGCGTGCAGCTCATCCCTTACAGAGCTGCTCTTCCCCGTCCACACCTTCCGATCTCCACATCCCACTCCCATCCCGCTTCCGGCCTCTCTTCCACCGCATACCTGTCCACCAGCTCCCACACCCTCCCCTCCCCAAAGCACTGCTCCCATTCCTGCGCCCGTACAGCTCCCACCCCACACAAACGCTTCACCCCGGCCCCACAGCTCTTTACCCCCCAATTCAACCCTACAAACCCCTGCAGTTCCAGGCTTACCTCATCCAGCCGGGACAGCCCGACCCCAATCCCCAGCCCAAAGCCCTTCGCCTCAGCCCTACCTCAACCGACAAGTCCCGCTTCCGCCCCAGCCGGACCACCCGGAGCCGCCCCACGGCCCGACCCGACCCCCCCTCCGGGCCCACCTTGTCCATGAGCTTCCAGCACTTCTCCACCATCTTCTTGTCCACGGCGCCGGGCTGGTGCGGGCCGAGGTGGTGGTGGTGCGGCTGGAACGCGTCCTTCATGAGCCCGATCAGCCCCCCGGGGCCCTTCTTCAGCGGCGCCGACATGAGGACGGCGCGGGGGCGGGGGGCAGCGACGAGCGGGCCCGCACCCGCGCCCGGCCCGTCCCCCCCGTCCTGCACCGGGCCTTGGCCCTGCAGGACAACCGGACGTGCGGCCGCTCCCGCGGGCCGGGCCGGGCCGGGCCAGGCCGGGCAGGGTAGGGCAAGGCGGTGGCAGCGGGAGCCGCGGGCGGTGGCGGCGGCAGCGGCGGGGGCGCCCGGCTCCAGCGTGGCCCCGCCCTCCGCCCCGGCCACGCTGCTCGCTGATTGGCTGGCCCGCCCCCTCCGCCTGGGAGGAGCCGGCGCTGATTGGCTGGTACCCGCGGCAGAGGGAGGGGGAGCGGGGAGAGCCGCGGCCCGTCCGCCAGGCCCCGCCCGGCTGCCGTAGCACAGGCGCAGGGCGGCGGCGAGGGCGGCGCGGCCGCCATGTTTGATGAGGGCGGGCGGGGCGGGGCGGGGCGCGGTCGCCATGGGAACGGCGAGGGCAGCGCCTGGGGTGGGCAGAGCCGGGCCCGGCTGAGGGCATCGGTGGCGGTGCCGTTCCGGAGGGTGCGGAACGGGATCGGTTCCCGTTTCCAGGAGCAGGTTCCCGTTTGTTGGAAGGGCCGAAAGGGGAAGGGCGACGCCGTGTGCACACAGGGTGAGAGCGGGCAGAGAAACGGAACCTTTTCGAGCTGACAGCGCCGAACCTGCGGAGATCATGGCGTGTGCTCGGTTCTGGGTCTTCGCTGCCTTCAGATATCCTCTTTTCAGCCTCCTTCCTCCTGCCTGTGTGCTCCTGGTGAGGTCTCCCCCAGCGCACGGCGTGCTGAGGCATGGGATGAGCAGGACAGAGCCGCACCGCGTATAGGGAAGCAGCCCTGCATAAACCTCTTGTTAAACTGTCTCGATTTTACTGCCTTTACTAAATACGCCTGGGACAGGCTTTAAAGCCTCGCCTGGCTTTAATTACCTGGGCAAATTTTCCTCAGGATTATATCGACCTCAAATATGTCAGCGTTTATTGAGGCCGTGTTCCTGAGGCTTTTCCCATTAGGTGCTAATGGATCCTGGCGAACAGTCAAGCCGGCTTGACCACCGGAGGGTGCCCGAATACCACAAGTACCTGGCGAGAGGGCTGGGGAGGGTAACACCAGCTTTGTGGAGCAAAAATCACCATGGCCCCGGTCCAAAGAGATCAGGGAACGTGCCTGAGCAATTGCATTCCCAACTATCTGCTTCGCTCCACGTTACAGATGTGTTTCTATACCAGGCTTCAAGCAAAGGGGGCTTCTGCCTTCTTTCCCTGCAAGAAACAAGAGCCAAGCACCTCTTTGCTTCTATCCCTCAGGCCCATGATGGAGATGGGCACAGCTGCGCTGGAAAGCCACATCCTGCTGGTCGAGTGTGTCTTGGTGCCTCTGGCTCTCCGTGTGCATGTATGGCTGCGGGCAAGAGCAGCCTTTAGGTCCCAAGGAAAGCTTCCCCTGAGCCAAAGAACTGCTCTTGGCTCTGCCCCTTCCTTCTTCCCTCTGGCTGCAGAAAGAGCAGCACTGGAAAGTGGCACTGGAGGTTAACGTGCTGGAAAGAGCCCCTGGGTAAGGTTGGAAGGAGCCATGGGCCACGACAAGCAAGGGATGCTGTGGTGGGGAACCCCCCTGGAAGTGCTTCCTTAGCACAGTGCTGGGCTGAGACAAAGGGGAGGTTTCTTGCTATGGGATGAACTGTTGATCAGGCAAGCCTTGGAGGCAGGTGTGGACTGAGGTGGTGTCCACATCCCCTTGGCTTTGGGAGCAGAGAGGTGAGGAACAAATCACTGCTCATACCAAGAAGGTATTGGGCAGGGAATAGCCACCAGTATGGTTTGGATGGTGCCCTTTGCCTGCCTGTGCTCAGGCCAAGGTTGTGGTGTGGGTCTCCAGGGCATTCCTGTGCATCTCAGCCTTGATGTTCCTTGGAGGGACATGACCTGGCAGGCAAAAGCTGACAATGCAGGGCTAAGGCAGAGGCTGTGGGACCTGGAGGAGGCACTGGAGCAGGCACAGAGACAAGCAAGACACTCATGAAACAGAGGGCAGGAGTGGGAGAGGGCAGTGGCACAAAGCCAGACAAGTTTAGCCCACCTTTCCCTTTGGTCTTAACCACTCAGCCCCAAAGCACCCTGCTGTTGGATAGCCCTTCTGCCTCCTATGCTGTCAGCACGGCTCATATAGGCTCATACAGATGCCTGTATTCAACACAGGCAGAGATTCCCCTGCCTCCAGAAGGCATTCCCTTGCCATCTCCATTAGTGCTCGAGAAGGGGCTGCTTTCAGCAGAGGTAAAACCTCAGGCAGAGGTTTGCGGTCTTTGCCACATGCAAAACTCTGCTCATTTTCACTCTCCCACGCTGTAGAGAGGTAAAACTTTCCCTGCAGGGCTTCCCCTTGCCCCTGGCATCGTCACAGCCCTGCCAGGCAGGGAGAGGATGCAGATAACTGCTTCTGCTGTGGCACCAAGGTGACGCAAAAGGGTGTGTGATTAAGAAACGCTCTCACTGCTGCCTGTACACCCCAAGTCCTCTGTTGAGGACCGACAGAAGCCCTCACAGTGTTAAACCCAGGATGGTTTATTTGGGGGTATAGAGTATGCCACGGCCATAGGAGTAACTGCAGAGATGAGCAGAGTTTAAGGTGAGTGCTTTGTGATGGCTTTGGTGGATGAACACGAAGTTACCTCCTTGTGTTCTTTGGAGATCCCTCCTAAACGTGGCTCTGAAGCAGTTTTTCCTATGCTTCAAGGATACACAACTAACAGATGAGGCAGAGGCAAAAAGAGACACACAAACAGAATAGTTTTTAACCTGGCTTGATTAATGCTGTCAAGTTGCACATCTGAGTGTGAGCTCAGTGGGACTGTTGCTTTTGTTTAATACCACAAGACACCTCAGTCTGGATTGTTGCATTACAGTACAAATAAAAACCAGAAACAAAACCACATCTGCATCATACAAGGTGAGAAGAAGATGAGAATTCTAAATATTTACAGAGAAGGGCAAGGGGGGAAAACCACAAAAAATATTTACATAAAAATACAGGAGCTTGTCAGCATATACATTTTACACCAGTTCACAAAAAAAGACACTCTATAAATTAAAGTGAAGGGAACTCCAAAGGGAACCCAAGACTTTCTGCGAGGTTTTTCTCTCATGCGGCTCAGGGAAAGAAAAATCAAGTCTTTTACAGCAGGAAAATGAACTGCAAAACAACCCTTTCCTCCTCCCTCCCCACAACCGGATGAGGCAAGGCTCCACACACGCAGGTTTTATGCCTGTTGAGACCAGACCATGCCTTTCAGCATCAGGGATCTGCAGCACGAGGCTCTGGGGACACTGCTGCTCTCCTAAGCTGCCTCTAAGGGAAGCAAACCAGGTTTTCATCCATGTTTCCTAATGCTTCAGTCACTGTACTGATGACCAGGGTATGCATGAGGGTCTGTTCCTTTCTGGAGGTAGAGAGGAACAGCAGGTTTGCAAGCTGGTTTTGGTTTGGTGCAGCAGCTTACTGTGCAATCCTTACTGACCCCCCCCTTCAAACGATGAGCATAAAGCCAGGACCTCTGGAAAGACACAGGCACAAAGTTGTGGGTGTTTTGTCTGTGCATATAGATTTCACCTGATAAGACTCTTTAAAAGGGAGACGTTAATGCTTTACTTAAGACTTCATAGGGACTAGGTCCTCATTACCCAACATCTGCACTCCCCCTGGCTCTAAAGTCTCTGCTCTAAAGCAGAGGTGACAATCCAGTGTCACCTGCGTGCATTAGGGAGAACCTTGGCTGGAAACCTTGGAAGTGGCAATTTGAGGTGCAGACAGCTTCTGGCAACTTAGAAGGGTGTTACTTAAGAACATAGCTGCTTGTTGTATCACTGGAGATAGGGTTAGGCAAGGAATTACTACTCGGAGCAGAACGGGACTTGCAGGAAGAGTATTCTTTGTGTTGCCCTCCCATTTCTCTGCTAGGACACTAAGAACTGAATGCCCAACTCACAGGTCCTACTCACACAGCTGGTATAAACCCCCCCTTCCTCACTCTGATGCATGATGCCCTCTGGAAGCTCAGCTATGACTTGGGGATGTTTTGACTCGATGCTGACTCAGTTGATGAGGATAACCACAGTACAAAAGGAGTGCATAGTTCACTGTATGGCTTTGTGCGGGGTGGATGCGGGACGCCTCCTGAATTGTACTCAGTGTTTAAGCCATGGGCAGTAGCTACACCAAAAGAAAGGTGCTGGTGTACTATTCTCTGGGAAAAGCTGGTGCCTTAACCTTGCTTTCTGTTTGCCTGTTTGCCCTTGTGGCTCAGCACCAGCATACAGCAGTTACTTTGGGCTCTCAGAGAGCTTGCAGCCGTTGAAGTACACGCTGATGTGGCTGTGTGCAGAGGGATAGTGAAGTTCTCTGCTGCCTTTTTTAAATGGAGACCTTATTCTCAAGAGGAAGGCTGTGTGTAGCAGCCCCCTCACTTTCAGAAGCCCTTTACAGCTTTTCCTTCCCATGGGTGACAGGGTACATGGCACCTCACACAATGCACTGAGCTGCAGGGCACAGCCTCACGCAGGAGCAGTGACAAGTCCATAAGGAACAGAAGTTGTCCAAGGATGGCACTAGAGGGAGACAGTGGCTTTGAGCAGGAAAATCCAGCGAGGCATTGACAATTCCTGTTAGTAGGATAGTGCTGGTTAACCTAAGGCCAAAACGGAGGTTAGGAGAGTTGCTGTGGGGCAGGAGTGGGGAGTTAAGGCTTCCACGGAGAGGGAAGGTTGACCTCCAGCTCTCATGACCTGAATCCCAAATAGCCTGAACCAAACACGTTGTCCCCGCTTTGACTGGAGACCTCAGCAGGTAACTTGGCAGCTGTGGGGAGACTGTACTACAATGCCTTAAGACTGCTACTAGTCCTAATACAGCACACACCTCTACTGAGAGAGCAGGCACTCAACAGTGGACTCGCTTGGTGTGCTTGTGCTGAGGAACCTGGACAGGTCAGCCCTTCCCTATGGAGTCAGCTAGCAATGCCCACCTCGTGGCCCCTTTCTATCTATTCTTGTTTCTTTTCCTCCAAAGAAAACATTACAAAAGCCTGACCCCTCTAACTCACAAGGAGATGGTGGTAACCTGGCTCACAGTGCTGCTTTTTCCTTTATCCCATTCCCCCCCCTGCTGCCAGATTCAGCTCTCTAACATGGCAGAATGACTCTTCTCAACATGATGTTTAAACCAACAGCACTGCACAAGAAACAGGACCATGAGGTGGTGCCACTGAAACAGCCCCAGATGGGGCTACAAGATGAAAAAGAAGGTAAAAGCTAGGTAGCAACTAGAAACAGGCTTTCCTTAGGATTTAAAACAGCCATGGAAGTTTTGTTCTGTCACTGTGAGCGTTAACAGCTGTGTGCCAACTGCAGAACCTCCAGGGTTTTAATACAACAGTAAGAGATTCAACACGGGTGGAAAAGCTCTTCCTTCATCCACACAGAACAGGAATGGCCTTGGGTAAAAACTAACTCAGTCTCAAGTATTGCTTGCAAAGCCCTGCTTAATGAAATGGATGTGCTTTATAAGGTGAGGTTGTAGGGCATCCTGGGATGCCCGTTTTTCTTCTCTTTGACAAGATGGAAAGCTTTTAAATACCTAGGACAACGTGGTTAGTGTATTAGAGAGCGCACTGACCTTCTGTCCCTCCTGCTAACTGAACACTGGTATGAGCTTCGACTGCAACATGGGAGGCAATGCTATTTCACAGCACACAGTAACTACTCAGTATGTGCCACAGCTTCACAGGGATCCCTTTGCCAATGCAGAACTGAAAGGTTACAGAAAGCCATGTCCTGGAGACCTTCCTTGAGGTCAACAGGAGCATTCCCTGATCTAAGAGCTGCAGAATCCTGCCCAGGGCTAATAGCTGGTCATGCAGATAACTCTTACTGCACTTAGTCCTTCCCAGCTGGTTAAGTCTGCCTCCAGTTTACAAGCTGGACAGAACCTCAAGAGACTTTAGAGTATTGTTTTGTAGAGATGATGCTGTCTGGCCAGCCACAACACAGCATCACATTGTCTGGACCGGAGACAGCCTAGCAGTAAAGAGGAATTGGCATGAAATGGGCGTGCTGCTCCCAGTGGGTGTGCATGGTTTGGTGTGGTTTTGTGTCGTTTCTTTTGGTATGCGAAATGCAAACTGCCCTACTTGGCTCCCATAGAAATTGCAAGTAATTGGTTTCTTGTAGTCCTAAACAGTTTGTAAGTGAGCAATTTAGACAGTGTGTTGTATTCTGAGCTTGCTTCAGAGCCTATTCCACAGGCTTCAAGTGAAAACTGGCTCCCACCCACTTCAAAGCAATTGAAATGGATCCACGAGGCCTAAGCACTAATTTTCAAGGGAGACCTCAGCATTTATCAGGTAAATACTTGGGAATTCTTCCCCCCCCCCATCCAGTTCTTGCTGTGCAACCTTGTGGGGGGGGGGCAGAACATTGGTTTTCCAAGGCCTGTATGGAGCCCCTTGCTGAGAAGCTGGCAGTGGGAAGGGAGAAGAGCTGCATGCACAGTTCCTCATGCATGGGGAGGATGCGGCGCTAACTGCCAATGGCAAAGGTGGGGAAGGACAAGCATCTCCTCCCCTCCTTGCCCCAACAGCATCTCTTTCACCTCTGCCCGGCCTCTCTGGCAACGTCTGCATGCCAAGAGCCTGCCTTATCCATTCCAGTTGTCTCAAAACTACATGGAAAAGCTCTATTTCTACTACATAAAAACAGTGAGTGGCGGGGCTGGGGTGCTGCAGGGGGGGGTTTGCTTTGCTCGTCGGGGCAGGATTGGTTTGTGTTTGTGGGGTTTTTTTTCCATCACTGAAAAAATAAAACAGTCCACTGTCCAGCAGAGGCTGCTTAGACTCTATCCCACCTTCCCCCCCACCAACTCACTCGACGTGGACCTCTGTTTCAGGCCTCTGCAAACACAGCTCCGTCGGGAGGAAGGCTCCCTGGCCGAGCGCCGTGGCGTAAGTTCTACTGTGCACATGGGTAAAACTGGGGGGCACAAACCCCCCTCCTCCAACATAGCCCCCTCTTTGGTGCTGAGGCATGGTATGGTAATCCTCCAAATTATCATACTGGGACACCACAGTCATAGTGCTTTGGCGTTTCCCAAGGGTTTGGTACGGGTAGAGCAGGGCTGAGTCCCTCTCCATGGGCTCGGGGTGCTGCATTCTGAGGCTGTGGCTCCGTTCGGGCTTGGGCGGCGGTGCCATGGGGGAGGCAGCGTGCTCCTCTTCCTTATAGCAGTCTCTGGAGTGTTTCTCCATGGACGTGGTGGGTCTGCCTCGAGACCTCTCCAAGTCTGGCCTGTCCTCTGCCAACCTCACCTCCTTGTGGTTCAGTCTCAGGGTCTCCTGGCTCCCCGGGATGTACTTGCTGCCCGCGTGCTGGTAACCGATGGGTTCGGAGGGCTCGGGGCCACCTTTGGGCCGGTAGTCGGGATAAGGGGGCCCGTTTTTGGGTTCAGAAGGCTGCCTATGGCTCGCTTCCTGCTGCAAGTGCGTCCTGTGTTCGTTTGTGCCGCAGCCTGGCTCGTGGAGCTTCCTGTTCCGGATGCTGCTCTGCTTCTGGGGAAGGGATGGCTTCTCTGACTGCCCGTTCCCATAGGCCCCGTGGTAGTGGGCTCTGTCCAGCTCTGGCTCAGGGTGCTGCATGTAGTAACGCTCCTCGCCCTCGGGCGTAGCTGCTTTGGCCGGGTACCTCCCCTCCTTCCCTTCTGCCACGGTGAGGAGGCCAGTTTTCCCAGGATCCGACTTGCTGCGCAAGTGTATCACATCCAGTCCTCCCAGATCCTCCTGCAGCAGCGGGGCCACGTTATCATACTGGGACATCACCGGCCCTTTCACCTTCTGCCGCGTGCGGCTCTCCCGGCGAATAGACTGCATGCGGTACTTCTCCATGTCCTCCAGGTCCCAGGACATGTACATGTGCTTGATGTCCGGGGCAGGTGGCACGTCTCTGCTGATGAAGCTGTGCTCTTTGCCTGCGAGGTGGCCGATGAGGCCACCCCGAGGGTAGGCTGACAAGCTGGGGTAGCGGTACAGGCCCTTGCTCTGCAGCCGTGAGGCATAGGAAGCAAAGTCTCTGCTGGGCAGGGGGTGGAAAGGCCGGACCCGCACGGTGCTGTAGGGATCCAGGTCATAAAAGCTCCCATCAGCGGTGGTGTAGTAAGAGGATGCAGAAGAACTGGAGTAAGGGCTGTACCGGTAATGCACCCGCCCGTTCTCAAAGTAAGGCTGCAGCTGCGTTACGTGGTAGTCGGAGTGGGGCTGGTATGGCTTGTACTGATAGAGGGGCCGCGGGCAGTACACTGGCTCATCATCCGGAGGGACCTCGGTCCGTGAAATGGGAACCGAGCGGATAGCGGAGGCAGCAGGGGTGGGCACGTGCAGCGACTGGACCCTCCGGATCGTGGGGTAGGGGGGAGCATCCTCGGCATAGCCGGTGCTGCGCAGGCCCGTTGGGCTCACGGAGGACACAAACTCCCTGCGAGGCTTGGAGTGCAGGGCAGAGGTGCTCTTCCCTTGGGTGGTGTAGGTGTTGTAGCGAGTGCCCGCGGACGCGGGTGTCTCGGAGCGAGGAGGGTAGGCTTGGTGCTGGTCGGGCTTGCTGTGGTACACGTGCGGAGGAACGCTGTCGGGCCTGTACTGGTGGACGGAAGCTGCCTTGTGGTGCAGGTAGCTGTCTGGAGCAGAGGGCTCGGGGATGCTCTCTGGCTTGGGATGCGGCACGTACACGGTCTGCAGGGAAGCGTGCTTGGGAGGAGGGGGCGGTGGTGGTGGTGGCAGCAGGGCTTCCTCCATGGAGGAGGCCAGCATGGAGGAGGAGAGGAAAGCGTGGTAGTTGGAGTTGTTGATGGGGTCCGCGTTGTTGGAGTGCATGGCGGCAGCGATCTTGCTCTCCAGCGTTCTCACAGGGGGGACAGGGGGTGTGAAGCTGTAGGAGGAGTGAGTAGGGACGGACTCGGACCGCAGGTGCAGCGGGGGAGCCCTCGTCATCTCCCGAGGCTTTTCCACATGGCTCTGGTGAGCCGTGGGCACAGAAGAGGAGGAGCAGCGGGTGCTGGAACTGCCTTCTGAGACAAAGCCAGGCGCGGGCTCCGGTGGCTTCTCAGGTGCGGCTGTGCCCCATACCTATAGAGAAAGAATCGGTTAGACCCAAGTCTTCCCCCTCCTGCTCTGTACTTAAAATCACAGATGCTCGTATGGATTAGTTCAGTTTAAGTCCTGGTTTGCTCTGGAGAGCTAGTGCACCTCTGGAAAAGAGAAGTGGAAGCTCTCCCACTCAGCAAAAGCAAGGGGCTGGTGGTGCCTCTGGGAGGTGTTGGGACCCATCACAAGTGGCAATCTAGGGCAAAGGGGGGAAGCTGTCTGCCTACAGCAGTGTTTTGCTTACAAATACACTTAGTCGAATGAAAATGCACCTGGGATTAAGCTCCTCACACCCTGGTGAGCACCTCAAGGGATAATACAGCAGAAACCCCTTCCTTAAATGTGGCTATGGTGCTTCAGACAGGCTGCAGCAGCTTGGATTTCGGAGGGGATGTCTAACCCTCATGCAAGGAATCTGAGGGTATGGTCAGTCTGAGTGCAGAATCCCAGAATCCCGGGTTAGAAGGGGCCTTAAGGATCATCTGGTCCAACCTTTCAAGGCAAAGCATGACCTGGACTAGATGTCCCAGCACCCTTTATCTTGGAGTGCCCAGTGTTGGGGAATCCACCACAAGAGAGGATGCACAAGTTCTCACTTGGTTCTGAGCACTTCTGAACTAGCATTCCCTGTACCAGTTACTCCAGCAGATACCTATTTCCTTTAAGCCAAGGGGAGCAGCTCAGTTTGGATATAAGGAGGAAGTTCTTTACTGTGAGGGTGCTGAGGCACTGGCACAGGGTGCCCAAAGAAGTGGTAAATGCCCCATCCCTGCCAGTGTTCAAGGCTACATAGAACAGAGCCTTGGGCAAACTGGTCTCGTGTGATGCATCCCTGCCTGTGGCAGGAGCTTGGAACTGGATGAGCTTTCAGGTCCTTTCCAGCCCAAACCATTCCATGCTTCTATATTGGGGTGTTCCTGAGGAAATCCTGCACCGCTTTCCCCTAAGCCTGGCTCTGGTGGGATTCCCAGTATCCAGTGCCTCCCCTGCCTTGTGCCATTTGGAACGGCACCCTCCCAGAGCTGAGCCTCCTATGATCACAAGCCCACGTGAGGCACATGCACGTACCTGACTGGAAGCACTGGGTGCTTTGGTGGAGGCCACCGGCACTTGTCCCGTTGCCGCCTGGGGATCGTGGCGCTGTGCCGGGGCGGGCTGGCTGCCCGGTGCTGTGCGCGGCGCTGGCACCGCCACCTCCGCCTGCGTCGTGGTGGCACCCGCCGGTCCCCGCTGAGGCTCGGCTGCTGCTGTCTGGATGGGTGCTAAGTAGGGCAGGGAGCCCGGGGTGCTTAGGACAGGAGGAGACTGAAGCTTGTCATCAGCTGTGCAGGTGGGGATGTGGTGCTTGTCCCCAGCCCCACAGGGGCGGAGCTGGGGCTTATCTACAGGCAAGTCTGCTGCGGGTGGCTCCCAGTCAGGCAGTGCACCAGGAGGGTGGGGGGGGGTGTGCTCCCAGTCCCCTGCATGGGAGGGGAAGTGGTCTTGGTCCCCCGGTTTACCAGGATGGAAGCTGGACTGCTCCTGCTCTGCATCTCTGCTGCCAGGCACGTCCCCGGGGGTGTGGAGAGGTGGAAGGGGGTCCTGGCTTCCCGGTGCACCCGGTGGGTGGTTCTGCTCCCCGGGTGTGCTGCTGCTACCTTGGAAGTCCTGCTCTACTGGTGCACCCGTCTGGAAGTGAAGTCGGCTCTCGGGCAGACCAGTATAGAGGTGGAGCTTGTCTGGAGCACCGGCAGAGAGATGGAGCTTTTCTAGAGCTGTGCCAGCTTCAGCCTCTCCATAATCTGTGCTTTCAGCATGAGCATCTCCTGGCCTTTTCTGAGAGTGGGCGGACGCTTGCTGCGCGGACTCGGCTAACGCTAGGGCCAGCATGCGCGCCGCGCTTTTCGGAGGAGGAGGAGGGATAAGAGACACAGAACTGACGGGAACAGGATCCTGGGGGGAGTCGAGGGCAACTGCTCCTAATGGGGGGAAAATCGAGAGAGAGAGTTGATTTGACGTTACCCAATAAGGAGAGTGACCTAATCCTAATGCCTACTATAGAAAAATAGATGCTCTCCACACTTATTCACAGTGGCCGTTCCTTCTGAGGTGGAACACGACTCAGAGCTCGTGTCTCACAATGCAAACGCTGCTCAAGAACACAGCAGTTCATCACAAAAAGGGATGGGGGGGGGGGAGAAGAAACCACAAGAGATTGTCTAAAGGCTCCTCTTGCATTTCTAGAGGTAGGAAGCAGAGAATGAGACACCCTTACACAATTTTGATCATAAGGTTTTAGGCGAAAAGGTCCCTTCTTCGAGTGTTGGCAGAGTTTTAATTTAACAAAGAGAAGTCTTAGGTGGTCTATTGGCTGCAATGATTTAGAAGGACATGCTAGAGGTTTTCACATATGACAGGATGGGGGGGAAGCGGTCTATAGGGTATTATGTGATTTGTGTGATGTAGGGAGAAGGCAGAGGTTAAGACCTTACTGATCTGCACAGCCCTGCAAGACACCTGTGATCAGAACTGACGGGCAATCCCCTCTCCTAAAAGGCACGCAGAGGAGGACGTTTCTGAGAGCTGGTCCCCTTTGGAACTTAAAGAAAGAATGGAGGAAAATGCACTGTACCTGGCTGTGTGTGTCCAGTGGGTACAGTCTTATTCTGACTGCTTGACATTGGTCTCTCCCCTTCTTCTGGCAACTCTGCTTTGCCAGCAGCCACTAGCTGCGTGTGCTGTAGCTCTTGATGGGCTCCTTCCCCTGCTCCTGTTTCACTGTTTTTCAGGGGCAAGGACATCTGGGTTGGGGACCTGTTTGTGATTTCAGTCATGCCAATCCCTTTGCTCCAGCTGGAAGCAGAGTTGTTTCTGGATGCGACGGGCACTGCCCCGGTGGCTTCAGGCATGCGGCTGGGCAGCGCGAAGGAGACGGGTTCTGGTGTAGTCAGTGGTGGAGACACGATGGGTTTCCGGCCCATCTTGGGTGAGAACGTGGGGGGTTTGCAGCTCTTCTCTTCCGTGGGGCTCAGGTCCAGAGTGAAGAAGGGACTCATCTTCTCGTGGAAAGGGGAGACTGGCTCAGAGCTCGTAGCACTGCCTGGTGTCTGCGACTGGCTGCCCGATTCTACATCTTTCTTCAGTAGGCTTGGCTTCTCCTTATTTATGCCAACGGACTCCAGCAGGGAGGTACTGCTATCCAGGCACTCCGACTCTGCTTGGGGTGGGCTGCACTGAAAAGACATGGGGTCAAAATCCAGGCTTGCGACTCCGATATCGGGTGGGCTCAGGTCAACATCTTCAGCAGACCGAGGAGAAATGAGGGCAGGAACGTGGATGAGCCCCTCATCCCCATCGCTGTCATCGTGGGGAAGGTTGTCATAAGAATTGCAGCGATTCATGTTTCCCAAGAGCTCTCCGTTGAAGGAAGCAGACAATGCATCGCTACTGGACCTCGGTCTTCTGGGCCTAAAGAGTTTAGATTCCCCTAGAAAAGGGCAGACAGAAACGGGTTTGTGTCAAACCTTATTGTCCACGAGGTGGTCTTTTTAAAGTAGTCTTAAGGCAGTGTGCGAGATGCTCACCTGCTCAACTCTGACACACAAACCCAATGTAGCTCATTACTGTGCTTGCTCAAACACTCTGGTCTGATTTAGTCTGGAACTAAGCTGTGTGCACAAGCAAAACTAGTCTGAGTGTGCTGTAGAACTAAGGCTTTCTCTGTGATACCCATCTGTGTTGAGCAGCAGTAAGCTGCTTCGTTAGTTAGTTAGCAAATCCAGCTTTTACTATAGGGCTGGGAATGAAAATCAGCCGTCAGTAATGCCAAACTGCCTTTTGAAATGCCCACAACTCGTCTTACCATCAACAGCATGCAGGGAGGTGAGTGATTCTTCACTCTTAGCTGAGCGAAGTGTGCCGCTGTCTCCTCGTCCACCTGAGGGAATGCAGCAAGACAGGGAAAGGATGAGATAGGGAAGTGGTTTATATCTGGCCATGTAACACTGGCAGGAAACCCACAAATGGGTTTCCAGCAATGGTAACAGTTGTGCTTGTTTTAGAGACTGGGGGAAAGTAACCCAGTAACTGCTGCAGATGACAGGTTGGGAAACAACCCTCCCAGCACTCTGCTGCAGGCCCTGTCTGGATGTACCCATGGTAATGGGCTGGCTGCTGCCAGCAAACAAAACCCCTTAAAAATGGGGAAGGACGTAACATTTACCCAACTTGTTTGATGAGCACTAAACCAGTGTGACTTCAGCACTCTGAGAGGACAGCCACAAGGGCATTCATAGCATGTGTTTGCTATCTACAACAGTCTCAATCTGGAAATGGCACCAGGTAAAAGATGGGATAAAAGTCCTCGCTAGCCGGTGTTTAGGGATTTGTGGTGTGTTTTACCACAAGAATATCTTGTTGCTATTATAAATTGGGAAAGAGACAGGAAAATATACATGGAAAGGGCTGAGAGTTCACCCTATGTGGATATAAAAAGCTGTTGGGTGCTGCCTCTAGTTACGTTTTGGGGGTGAAGGTGTTTGTGGAAAAGTGACTTTAACTGGTGTCTTGTGAGAGCAGCAAAAGGAGACAGAACTTACTGTCTCATAGGAAGTGTCATAAGGAATTACTCAGACTTATTCCAGTGGTGCCCACATATGGGCTTTCACCAGCGTGCTCTAGATCTGAGCTAACATGAGATCCATTTAGGAAAGAGAGCGGTTAGCTGAAGGTGTCATGCACGACTCGAACGCTAGAAGGAGATAAAAGCACACGGCAGATCTGAAGTATTCCCAGCTGGAAAAGCCTGCCTTTTGGGAGCTGGATCCGCAGCCTCACCTGCCAGGGCTATGGCTTTCATTTCCGAGGGCTCGCTGGGATTGCGCTGCAGCTTGCGTTTGGACACGGAGGAGGATTTCCCCAGGTTGAAGAAGGAACGCCAGCTGCCAACTGGAGACTTCTTCATCTTGCTGGGAGGCCTCTTCCTGGGGTGAGAAAACAGGGCAAACTGATGGAGGGAGGGGAAGCTGCACTTAGCTCCCGTTACTGGTCGGTTGCTATTAGCACTGTCTGGTTTACTCAGCTTAGAAACTTGATCTCTTTCCAATAGCTGAGGATGTTTTTCATTCCTACCCCTCTGGTGTGGTGCAGGTGAGCTAAGCCCCATGCTCATACAGCACGCCAGTGAAGGAGTGGCTTTTATTTAGCTGGCAGATGCACCAGCTCTCTATGAACTGTGAAAGCATCTCTTGCTGATGCTGTAAAATCACATCTGCCTCCCTCCATTCAACTGCTCCATGTCGAGCAGAACCTGGATTTGTTCCAGGCACTCAGTCCTGAAACCTGGAAACTTCCCTTGTTTCCAGGTGTTCATCCATCCCACTTACACGTCAGTGTGTGTGACTACTACAGGTATCCCTATGCAACACATACAACACGGTTTTATACATGTAATAACCTTGCTGAAGAGGTGGCAGTGGCACAGAAGTGACATGGCTAAACTGAGTCCAGCAGACAGCTGATCTGAGCTGAATCCTCACAGACTCCAAAGCAGGTGGAAAAACTGGCTACATTCCTCCAGGTATGATCAGTGTAAGTCAATACTGGCAAGTTTTTGCTGTGATAAAACCCCAAACCAGTTATGACATGTGCTGGAAAGGAAAGTCGTCCCTACCTTTCAGATGGGAAGTCTATGACTGTGTGGAATTTCCCCTGTAAAGCTGCAGGGCCTTCTCCCACTTCGATGTATTTGCTGTCGGCCACGATGGGAGAGTTGATCTGGGCTTGTGTCCGTGCCTGGGCTTCCTCCAGTGTGAGCAGCTTGGTGGAAGGAGAGGACACCAACAGAGACTTGGGCCGTGATAAAGAGCTGTGCCCTGCAAGAGAAGACCACAGGCAAGAGGAGGATGAGAACACAGCAGTACAGAGATCAAAGCTCTGCTCTGTGTGTCTAGGGAGGTGCTGTGTTTTCCTAAAGCTTTGTTATCACAGCCACTGAAAGACGTGGTCAGAGCAACCCTTTTGTCAGAGGGAGGTATGGTTATGACAAACACAAATACACATAACTGAAAGCAGCTTAGTGCCTTTTAAGAAGCAAGGAGGTTAGAAACCCACATGAACATAAGCCTGCCTTAAGCTTCACCTGCATGCAAAAGCCTGCAAAGAAAGCTATGGGTTCATTCTTACACCGTTTTTGGTCAGCCCCAGGTTCCACCTCTTGGTGCAACAGAAGTGCTGTGTGTGAGTTAAGGGGTTGGGAGGAAGGATGCCATTGCATCTGCACCCTGGTTGGTTCCTTCCCTACAGCACCCCAGCTCTTGTGTAGTGTATGTGTTTGTCAGGTGTAGATGCTATCCCAGGTGAAGTTTGGGTTCCAGCTCTCTTTGCCATACCTGGAGTGGCTTAAAGCAGGCTTGGCAATACCACTTTCACCTCTCAGGGGTGGAAGCAGGTAAGAAGCCATGCTCAAAGCCAAGCTCCTGGAAGCACTGAAGAGATGCTGCCTTGCCTGCTCTTGCCTCATCTGCTGTCAAACAGCCTGAGCCATCTCCCTGCCAGTTTTGTGTCAGAGCACACTGACTGTGAATGACCAAGTCATTGAACAATTAGCTGAATTGCCATGGTCCACTCTAAGCCTGGATAATCATTTGGCTCCGATTCTTAGTGTGCTTATCTTGCCCTGGCACTGCTCAGCCAAGTTAACCTCTGGCTCTTCTTGACTTGAAATTGCCTTCCTGTAGGAACAGAAGCTGGACTTGGAGCAACTCTGCTGTCTAAGAGGAGCTGTTTAAAAGGGGGAGCAGTAAATACATTGGAAACCCAACTATCTGTACCCCACAGGTGGTTGAACCTGCAAAGGATGAGTACACTTCATAGTAAACTTCATAGGCAGGTTATCAAAGCAGATGGTACAGGCTGACTGCTGCTTAGGAGTAGTAATAGCTCGTGGTACCTAAGTTTGCTGAGCTAACAGGGAGTAAACTTCCTTGATGCAACTCTGCTCCTTTTCAATGGAATGGGCATACTTACTGCAGAGGCCAAAGCATTCCCTGTTAAGTTCCTTACTTGCTCTGTATTCCATTAGTGAATACAGAAAGCTTTCTTTAAATTGCTTTGTTTCCCTATGTTCTAAGGTGCTGGTGAGGGTGGGCACATCAGGCATGGTGTGGTGCTGCAAGGCAGCTTGAACAGACATGCAGGAGCATCCTTGGGGATGGTTTTAAAAAGAAAGGGAAGGGAGTAAGGGATACACAGGTTTAAGAGATTACTTACAATTTCTTAGTGCTAGAACATAAAAGCAGCAGCCAAACATTAAAGATGCATGCTTATGTGGAGCATCCTTGGCTTCTATGAAAGGTGCTAGCAGCAGTTTCTAAACCAGGAAATCTGTCCTTTAGCTTACAGAACAAATGTATTTTCAATGTCCCAGATGCCCATTAAGTGCCTCCTATCTCTTTTGATCAAGGTGCAGCTCCTGCAGGAAGGCACTCACCTGCTCCATCCCGTATGACTGAACTGAGCTTGGAACTGAAGAGGACATCCACGTGGTTCAAGATGAATTCCACAACCACTGACTGGATGCGCACCTCCATGAAGGCAGCGGTTCCACTGAAGCAGGCAGACTCTATCTGCTTTGATCTGAAGAGAAGGCAGAGGAAATGAAACACCAACAGCCAGAAGAACACCTGAAGATGTGCTCCTTGTGCCTGGTTCCTCAGGCAGGACTTCAGGGGCAGGGATTGTCTCCCACTGACCCTGCCCAGCCAGTACCCCAGTATTCACAGCAGCAAACTCAAACAAGACATCATTTGACTGCTTGGGGGTAAACTGCCAGCAAGAAGAAAAGAGTTTACCCTAATTAAGTGTCCACAGGGGAATCTATGACTCAGGGTTCTCACATTTCTCAGGCTGGACACAAAAGCAGCCCAGGAACCAGTACAACAGGGGCCACGTTGTGGCTGAACTACATTGCTGGGTCAGGAGCAGGCCTCGAGCTTGTGCTTCCTTCCCATTAGCAGGTTTCAGAGGAGGAAAAGAGCACATTGGATGGAGGAAAGGAAGCTCCTTCTCACCTGCTGAAAGCTGTGATTTTGCTGGTTTTATGGAAATAGAAAACCTCATCTTGTATTGAAATGGGGGAGAAAAGCCAAAGAGTACCTCAGGAGGTTTGGAGCCCAGACAATTGCTAAGTTCTTGGTGTGCATGTTTGTGATGGAGCAGTAATCAGCAAGACGAGCCAAATGCCTCATTAGGAACTCCAGTGTCCTGGAAAAGAGGAGATAGGCCAATGATCAGCACGGATGAGCAGAGCCATGCTGTGGGTTACAAAACAAACCCCACTTCATTAGTTTCTTTTGGTTTGGCAGCTCCCAGGAAATAAAACATTGCACTGTGTACCCTAAGAGTGATGCTGGAGTTGGCTTTAGCAAATAATTACACTGGGGTGGGGGTGTCTGTCCTCGTTTGTGTAGGCTCAAGGAAAAGCTACTCAGTCCAAGGGCTGGATGCAGAAGCAGAGTGCCCTGGAAATTCACTGCTTGGCTCCTTTTCTGTGCCACACAACTCCACTGTGTCTGAGTCTGCTTATGAAATGACTGCCTCCAGGGCTCTTGTACATACATATAAAGGTTAAACTTCACAGGGACAAGGCCTGGGGTGAGGATGGATGCTTCCAGCTGGCAATAAAACAGAGAGCTCTAGCACACCATGGAACTTCTCTGCATAGAGCAGTGTGACAATGAAGTCTCCCTCTTTGTACACTGGTTTGCATCCTGGTGCCTCCCATGTCCCCCCTCTGCTCTAGGGCTACACCACACGCACTGGACTCAGGAGCTCCAAGTCTTTGCTCACCCCCCTAAAATGAAGAGGCATTTTAGGGAAAAGGTGGAATGCACCAGAGAAAAGGAGATCACTTGTGAGGTTCCCTCAAGGCCCTATCCCCTTGGTTAACGTATACAGAGTACTGCCTTTAGTCAACACAAAGTACCAGCTACCACACTAACACACACAGTTATAGCTTATAACACATTAGTTAACAATGATTAGCTCAGATGAGTGCCCACAGAGTTAATTATTGATACTGAAGTAACATATAAGGCAGTTATAGCACTCAGGAACAGCACTGCAATGGCCCAGCTAGCCACCATACATTACAATGATTCAAATAGTCATAGTACCTAATCATAAACACATTAACATTTTCATACCCCATTAAGCTGCACAGAACTCAAAAACAAGATCAACAGATCCCCTCATTTCAATATATTAGCATAAACTAGAATACATTATCATAAATCCTCATACTACTGAATAGAGTCGGGCAGGACATGAGATTAGCTGGTCCCCTCATTTCCATTTTAGCATAAATTATCATTCATTAACATACAATTTTTAATATTTCTGCCTAAATCTGCATAGAGTCAGAACATAAGGTCCTCCTCATTTCAATCTATTAGCATAAATTAGTATCATTAACATAAATTTCCATGTATATGTATAAATCTACATAGAGCTAAAACCCAAGATCACCAGATCCCCTCATTTCAATGTATTAGCATAAATCTGTATAGGGCCCAATCACCAGATCATATAATCCAAGCACATTTGCATTTACTAGAATAAATTAGCATATATTAGCATAAATTAACACCGTTCTACTGTGCTTTATCTTGTTGCTTGCTTAGCATTCTTTACACAATAAGTAGTTATGGATATCCAAATAACTTTAGGAGTTGCACCCAGCCATTAGAATACTTAGTTGATGAAGAGAACTTAGCACACCCCATTACAACACTTAGTTACTAAGACTCATTACCATACACTATTATATTAGTTATTAATACCAATCACCAGCTTTTTTGTGTCTAATGCCTTTTTTACCATAACTTTTAATACTCAGGGCTATTAACATGGCCTTGAGTATTAAACACAATTACTTATACTCTAAGAACACAAATCAGTTAATAATAAATGGGAATATATTAGTTAGCTGGTGGTTTTTAAACCCCATATTGCAATCAGTCTACTCCCAACACTGTATTTGCCTCCAAACATAGTTTCCAAGGCAGGCAAACAAGACTATGCAGAGGAGATAGTGTTTGCTAAGGAGCAAACTTGAGCTAGAACCCATCGTGACACTGACCTGTAGTGGGGAGGGGGCAGCTGCTGGATGACATCGTGGATCTTCACCAACCGTTCCTCATCTGTAGCAGCAGAAACAGCATCCTGGAACGAGACAGGAAGGGATTCAGCTGCAAATAAGACTCAATACCTGATGCATCATATGGATCCACGTGGCCTCTGCAGCAGTGAGGTGGATCGTGTTGGTCTTCACCTTCTGGGGACAGAGCAGCACACAGATAATGTGAGAAAGGTCAAGTACATCAAGATCTGGGCCACTTTCTAGCATCACAGAATCAAAGAGGTTAGAAAAGATGTTTAAGATCAAGTCCAACCATTCAGGACAACTCACACTGGCACCTATAGGAAGAAAACTGAAATAAAGACTTTCAGAATCAGACTTTAAAATGGAGCCTTTCAGCCCAGATGTTCAAAAGGAAACAAGAGGTGGGGAAGGTCCCTTTGTGCTCTGAAACAGGGATGAAAAAAGGGGGGGGAGAATTGAGGGACTGACTGGTTTCAAAGCTACCTTTATGATGTGGGTGCAAAACAAGCAATTTTAGATGCACTGCCTGGGATTTGGGGCTTATTTTATCCGTGTATATAAATGGGGGCTGGACATGATTTGTTCTGCTGTTGAATCTGGACACACACAGAGAGAAGCAGGAATGAGGTGGCAATTATTACTACAGGTGAGACCAGAAAGAGAAATCAGCATTCCCTCCTTCCAGCAAGGCTGTAAATCATCACCTTTAATACAACTGAGCCATTCCTTACAGAGGGTCTCCAGCTCCAAGCAATGTTTGCTTCTAATCCCAGTCACGTTCAAGAAATCAGGGGAATTCTTACTTCTGTCCCAATAGCCTGAACCTGGGGCCCGACAACTGGAATTGAGATGGTGTGGCACAGGGGACAACAGCACATGGTAGTTAACCTAAAGGGGGAGCAGATTTGATCTGAAAACCCCAACCTAAGCAGAAGTAAGACGAAGAAAGGTGTGTGTAATAGGTTCAGCTTCCTGCTGGGTCCCCTTCAGTGGATCCACATGTGGATGAAGTGGAGCTGAAGTGGAAAGCCAAAGGTACTTACTGAGAACTTCTCATAGAGCTGGTAGGTGAGCAGAGGGTTCGGGAGCTCCCGGAAGTACAGTTTGCAGAGGGAGCCCACGCAGTGGATGTCCTGGATGTAAATATCCTTTGTCAAGTCAGGGATCTGCTCGGAGTCAAACTCGTGCCTGGAAGTGAGAACAGGACAATGGGCAAAGGGGGTTGGGAAGGAGGGATGAAAAGAAAAACCAGGGCAAATTCCAGTCAAGGAAAGGGAGCAGTTCCTGATCCACAGGAAAACATGAACCCTTAAGTGCCCAAAGCCACGTGCCCCATGGCCGTGGTGCTGCTGGAGTGGAGCTCTCCAAAAAGACCTTTCTGGTTTGATAAGGCATCTCCAGTTAGTTTTACAACTGCACCAGGGCTTTTCCCAAAGGCTGAGCACGTCTCCCACAAGCACAAAGGCAATGTGAAGGTTTAACTGTGACTGGGGGCTGCCTGGTGGAGCAGAGTGCCCAGGTCTGAGGGGAAGCTGCTGTCCCTTTGCATTGCAAAGGCTTGGAAATCAAAAAGAGAAAGCAATGCCCAGCAGCAGTGCTCTCAGCACACGGAAACGGGTTTGAGAGCAGGAATTCCCTGGGGACACATCTCTGCTACAGGGCGAGGGGAGCCAGGAACCACATGAAGAAAATCCCTGAGCATTCCCTTGGTTTTCCAAGAGAGAGGAAAACCCAAATCACAACCAAAACAAAAGCTGAGCTGCTGGAATACGTGCATGGGAAGTGCTGGGTTGAATCAGGAAGACACACTGGCAGGGGCTGCAAGAACACGGCTGCTCCCGATGAAGCTGTGCTTCCCTACGAGGGCTTTAAGCTGCAAACCAAACCTGCCCATCAAGTGTCTACACTGAAACCACAATGTCAGGGGCTTGGTGGCAACATCCCCGGCCTCTCCCCCTGCCCAAGCCAGGCAACTTGTAGCCCAGAAGATAAAATGTGCCTTCAGCAGAGCTCAGAGACAGAGCTCTCCTCTCTGCTGACAGAATGGAGCCCATTTGTACCTGTGTCCAAGGCACCAGGTGCATTTGTAACTGCAGCCATCACCCCTACATCCCTTACAGGATGAGGAAGCAGCTCCTGCCTTCCCCTAGGCACAATGATGTCTGATAGAAGCCACACTGGAGGACAGAAGGGGTCTCTGCTGCTTCAGACCAGAGGGTGAAGAGCCCATCCCAATGGGTCAGCCATGGTGCCCTTACCGCAGTTTCTGGATGTTGGATGCAATCCCGGACAGACGATATATCCCATCCACAATGCCATGCTTCTCAATGAATTCAGTGCAGCTCTTGAGGACCTGTGGGACTAAGGAGCAAGTGTCACTGGTTAGTTGAGCGCGTGATTCAAGTCCTAGTGCAGACGCCATACACTAAACCCAGCTGAGCTATTGCTTTAGTTCTTCCTTCAGTTCTTAGAGGAGAGAGTCTATAAGGAATTTCACTTTAGGAGTTGGTGTGGAAAGGGGTCAGAGGTTTCCTTTGCTCTAAAGAAATGCCAGGATGTGAACCAGGTTGAACAGAGTCGACTGTGGTCAAGCAGAGAGAGCGCAGGTCCCATCACACCTCCCACAAGAAGCATGGGCGTGAAATTCCATGCCAGGAGAGCTACAATACTGAGTAAAGACACAATATTAGCCAAAGGTTTCATTTGTTTGCAAATCTACACAGGATTAACCCTTACCCCTTCACAAGCAAATGCAAACATTAAGGAGATGCTACTTTCTGTACCAGAGCCAGGCCACTTTTAGCTTTTACCACTGAGTTTCCCCCACTAATGTCTACCAGAGTGTGACTGGATTTAGAAGCTACACAATGTGCCCCACAGACAAACCAGGCTATGGCAGAATGGAAAGCATAAGCCCAGAGGCTATCATTAGGTGTCAAGTTAATATTCAAACCACTTCACCAACCAATTCCTTCCAGCTGACTTCTCAGCCTCATGCAGCACCCACTGCTGGAGCTATCTGTGCACCCTTGGAAGCTGAAGGTGGAGCAAATCCCTTAATAAAAGGGAGGTAAAACTGCCCTGAACACCGAAGGAAAATCAGGACTGAGCTCTTAGGGGCCTCAGCAAAACTCCATGGGAAAAGCTCAGATCCCGGTGGATCCCCCGCAGGCTCCTGTGCCCATCTATGTTTAACCTTACGTTAGATGACCGGTCTGATCACTTTGCCATGGGACAGATCCTGGTGGCAAATCCCCTTCCATCAAGCAGCAAATGCCATCTGTGAGTCCATTCCCCTGCACTCAGATGCTCTGTGCTCCCCCCCCTCTGCAGCCTGAAGAAAGACCCATACTAACGGCTTCCCTGGCTATCAGCAGGTGAGTCCTGAGCACAGGGCACAACAAAATGCCTCTAAATGCTGAATTTAACCCTTTCTGCAAAGAGATTCAAGCCCTCCAGGTTCCCTGCAGCCCCTTCAGGCACTGGAGCTGCTCTAAGGTCTCCCCTTCAGGAGCCTTCTCTTCTCCGCGATGAACCGGCCCAATGCTTGAACAAGCCCCTAATGCTCAGCTCCACAATCCCAAAGACTTTAACAATCCACATTTGAATCTTATTAGGGCTCCCCATCAAAAGGAATACATAAACAAATAAATACATAGCACATTCCTGCCCAATTCCTACCAGGAATAATGCCCAAGGAAGGGTGATGCACACACTGTCGTATGGGACCTTCCAGAGCTATGCACCGCTCCGAGGCCTCATCCCCTGGGGTTTATGGAGCCGTGTCAACAAACAGCACGCTGAGAACAGTGTTTGCATGGTATTTATGGTATTTGAGCCCAGCAGCAACCTGTTGTGACAATGTGAACCAGGTCAAGGGACAATGGGGGAAGGGTGAGGGATGCAGCACCTACAATACACTTCCCAAAGTACTTACTTGTCATGGCATAGCCAGAATAATGAACAGACCCCGAAAAAGCTCCAGCAGACTTGCTCTATGCATTTCCTAATCTGATTACCAGGACGAGCTGTTCTTTAAGCTAAATATATCATGGCAAAAGCATGGATATTTTGGGGGAATTCTGCAGGGTTGGAGAAGTGGCTGCAGTCCAAGGAGGGCTACAGCTATACCTGAAGGCCTCGGCTGCAATGGTGACTTGATTGTTCTGAGTTCTGAATGTTGTGTTCAACCTCCTCTGCCCTTTGAGGCCCAAGCCCTCCAGCTACATCCTCCTCTCCATGCACAGACACACACCTGGAAGGGACTGTGTCATGTAATGATGGGGTGACAGCACAAGCTGGGACTTGAGGTTATAACAGTGGTTTCTGCCATCGTATCCTGACTTTCTCAGGCCCCCTCCCTGCCTGTGGCATAAATCCCTATGTGAACTTGCCAGTTCAGAGCCCGATTCCAGCTTCAGGATCCCAAACCAATCACAAAGGTAACACTGGGGATTTCTTCTCACAGGATGCAGTGGCATCTACACTAAACTTCCACTAACGATAGTTCCATTGCTGTGGTTTCCTGCAGTTCTGCCAACCAGGCTCCATGACACACATGGTCTGCATCAAGAGCCATCAAGGCCTGTCTTAGCTCAGCACCCAGCTCCTGATGACCACCACAAACAAGCCGCTTCAGCACAGGGTAACACACGGAATATGCCTCCAGCCCCAGTAATCTCTGCTCAGGAAACCTCAGGGCCCACCAGAACTGGTGTTTGTGTTTGTCAAACCCAGCACAAAGCCCTTTCCAATGCCATGTTCCCAGGCAAACAGCAAAACTGTGCTCATGGAGTTGGGTTTACTCCTTCCCTGAGCAATACTCCTTCAGCTTTAAGGTTCCATCCAGCCCAAACCCTTCCATGAGTCAGTACTAAAGCTTCAGCATCTATTTCTCATGAAAGCTCTGCAAAGCACTTTCTGAAGCAAAAACCTTGGTGCAAAGCAATCCCCTTTGTGGTCCAGGCCATCACAAGCAGGGATTCCACCCGTGGCTTCCTGGATCCCAGGATGTGCCTTGTGCTTACAATTCAATCTAGTGTTTGAAGACAGGAAAGGGGGGGAAAAGCAGCAAATCTGTAAATATTTATAACTTTCTCCTTTCCAGCAAAGTTTGCTTCACTGCTGGTTTGTCCTGTTCTATTTCACTCTCTAGCAGCAAGAGAGAGAGGGGGAAATGGTTGCATTTACCCTCTGAAGCATCCATATAAGCTAACTCCTAAGACTCAGCTGTCCTGAATTCCAAATCGAGATGGCAAAGACCCAAAGCCAGCCAGGGAGATGTTTATTATCATGAAAACTCTCAGTAAATGGGACTCCTCACATTAACAGTAAGAACCAATGTGACAACGCAGCCATGACCAACCTTACCCTTGAGTTAAGGGGAAGCAGGTCTCTACAGATCCCTGCCAAGATGCTGCCCACGATCTCATTCCTTACGTTCCTGTTCTGATCACAGCATTCTCCCTAGCTCAAATCTGCAATAAATAAGCATCAAAGGCAACTGAATCATTCAGCTGTAGCCAGGGCATGGCTCGAAGGAACAGGTAACACTGGAGGACCCCCGACAAGAAGCATTGACACTGGGTGCTCCTTTTACTTCTTATGGAATCACAGCCTCATTTGGGTTGGAAGGGACCTTAAAGCTCATCCAGTTCCATGGTTAGGGACCCCTTCCACTAGAGCAGCTTGCTCCAAGCCCCTGTGTCCAACCTGGCCTTGAGCACTGCCAGGGATGGGGCAGCCACAGCTTCTCTTGGGCACCCTGAAGCCATAGAGCGCTCTGTTTCGACACACTCAGAGGCACAAATGAGGACATGGCACAGATGCTGCAATGCAGCACTTCCCCAGCTCCCACATTAACCAAACACAGCCTCTGCAAGCACAATGCTTTCTAATTGGGGTCAAGCTAAATTTAAGTTCTACTTGGTTTCTTTTGAGAGGAAAAGAGAAAGAGGGGAAAAAAGTCTCTACCTCCAAAGGGAACACGGCCTCTACCTGAGCCAGAGGTTACACTGAATGTGCTGCATAGAATCACAGAATCCCAGACTGGTTTGGGTTGGAAAAGACCTTAAGATCATCCAGTTCCACCCCTCTGACATGGGCAGGGACCCCTTCCACTGGAGCAGCTTGCTCCAAGCCCCTGTGTCCAACCTGGCCTTGAGCACTGCCAGGGATGGGGCAGCCACAGCTTCTCTGGGCACCCTGTGCCAGCGCCTCAGCACCCTCATAGGGAAGAGTTTCTGCCTTATACCCAACCTAAACTTGCCCTGTTTCAGCTCAAACCCATCACCCCTTGTCCTCCTGCTGCAGTCCCTGATGAAGAGCCCCTCTTTAGGCTTTGGTAATGAACAGAACTCTGAACATCACTGCAGTCTGGTTCAACACTGCTTTCCTGAGGAGGACGTGAACACCCTGCTGCTCATTTCAAACACTGCTCCCATAAAACTACCTGGTTATGTTCTGCTTATGAGGTGAGGGAGCAGAGCTCTTTGCTCTCTCCAGTTCCACCCAGGGTCTGCTGTGGCATCTCCATCCCCTTTCAGCAGCTGCCTCCAAGACGATGGGATGAGGGAATCTTAAAACGCTGCTCATGCACGGAGCCTGGTTCCCAGCAAAACAGCACCATCTCCACAAAAACCAACCCCAGGATGACATCACTTGGAATACAGGTCAGAGAGCTGAATCACACCCTGCTGTGTGACAAGGAGACCTGCCCCTGTTAGCAGCATCCAAATTGGACCTGCTCCACTCCAGGGAGCTAGGGAAGAGTTGGGAACTCAAGGCTGACAGCAACTGGCAGCTCCTCAGGTGAAGAGGCCTCATTAGCCCCGTGCAGCAGTCACTCAGGCACATGATGATGACTTGAGTTCCTTAAGACTGTCAAACAGGAGCCTCTGGTGGACTTAGAACAATGCAGTTGAGCTCAGGATGTGTCTTTCAATGCTAAATGCAACGCACGCCAAGCCAGGGGAAGACGTCAACACGGAGGGCAGGGATAAGCCTTAGTTATTGCTGACTTCTGCCTAGCTAAAATGGGCAGGAGGAGGGCTGGGGTTAAAAGAGAACTCTCTCTTTCCTATGAATGAGCTCACTCTGCTGGCGTGCCTCCTGCCCTCCCACAGCATGAACATAAACCCAGCTCTCGAGCTAGCCGGTGGTGTGAATTACCTACCCCTGATGTAGTTCTTCCACGGGTTACTGTCTGTTTCTGTCTCTCTGATGCTTTTAGAGGCCCAGCAATAAAGCCTGGCTCCAGTTAACAAGCCAACGAGCCTTGATTCCATTAAGAACAAGCTCGTGTTATTCACCACCTGGTAGTAAACCACTCTGTGTAAAGCCAGGCTGTGCATGTTGCTGTTACCACGTGAAACCATGCGAACCATGAAAGAATCCCTGCCTTGGGTTTGCTCCACAGCAATGCAGGTACCTCCCCACCCCAAAGTGAGAGGGTAGGAAAGAGCATGCGAAAGCAAAGCTCATACAAGGAGGAGCATTAAGAACAGTGCTACTTTTCCTTGGGAAGGGCAGAACTTCTCTGCTGCCTCCCATAACTGGTGATGGGAAGTGAAAGGGACTGAGAAGAGCTATGGAAACCTCACTCTGATAAGGGAAAAGGAAGCTGTGTTCAAACATTGTGCCCATTTGACTCCAGTGAGCTTTGTGAAACCAAGGGAAAAGGTGGAGGAAGGTCCCGAGTCAGAGGAACATATGGATTTAACACACCAGTTAATCATTCATTGACACTGACATGTAAATCGAGTCTAATTCCTAAATAAAATCTATTTCCCTGAAAAAAAGGAATAAAAAACCCCTTATTCACTCTTTACTCATTGAAAGGTTGAGAACTCATTGCCAGCTGCAGCATTCCCACATCAACCATGTTTGCTTCCTTATTAGAATCCCAGACTGGTTTGGGTTGAAGGGACCTTAAAGCTCATCCAGTTCCAACCCCTGCCATGGACAGGGACCCCTTCCACTGGAGCAGCTTGCTCCAAGCCCCTGTGTCCAACCTGGCCTTGAGCACTGCCAGGGATGGGGCAGCCACAGCTTCTCTGGGCACCCTGTGCCTCAGCACCCTCACAGGGAAGAGCTTCTGCCTTAGATCTAATCTAAATCTAACTCCTTCCATGACCCCATATCCTATCCCTACTTTCTCTATAAAAAGCCCCTCTCCAGGTTTCTTGTAGCCCCTGTAGGCACTGGAAGCTGCTCTAAGGTCTCCTTGGAGCCTTCTCTTCTCTTACCCATTTCTCTGCTAGCCCCAACTAGCCCTTTACTGGCTACCATCACCCTGAAATAAGACCCCCAACAGAGGAAGAACTCAAGAACGGAGTGTTTCTTACCGTCATGGCCAGAGTTGAGAAGATGCTCCCCCAGGTCACAGCCGAACACCCTTTCCTTCAGTATCCCCCTTTGCTTCAGCTTCTGCTTGGTTGGGCGCGACTTCATGAATGTCCTCAGGAAGGTGATGAGCTTGCCGTGCTTTTTTGACACTGCACAACAAAACACAGGCAAAACCACCTTGGTTTAGGGTCTTAAGTCAGGCAAGGCCAAGCATAACACGTTCTATAGGGCAAGCAAGAACTGTAGTGGCAGTAATTCCAATTACCGATATTCCAAGGCCCGATACTCAACAGAGACTGGGCTTTGATGCTAGTGCAGAAATAACATGAGAACTGAACACAAAGAGACATTTATCAGTGAAGCAGCTGCAGGTGGGAGCATCCTGAAGGATCTCACATGGAATACTGGACAGTGAGCGGCACCTGAGAGCTGGGAGGATGCAAAAGGCTAAACCAACAAACCCGGTGTGCACGGACCAACGCCGTCTGTAATCCATGAGCACAAAGAAATGCACTGGCAGTAACTTTACATTCATTCTAGTGGTCTTAGGGCCTCCAGAACAAACGAGGGCCTAATAATATCTGGCTCTAAGTGCCCTTTCCAGCACACCTGCAGTGTGAATGGCCCTCGCTGCAGCTGCGGCCGCACGCTCCATTCCAGGGCTTTCCCAGCCTTCTCAAGCCATTGCAAGATGAAAACATTACTGTCTTTGTTTGATGTAACAGCAAACTAAGGCAGCTGACTCGAAGGGATGCAGTTTATCCTCTCCACAATAAATACAAGAAGCCTACAAAGAGAAGAGAGCTGTGCCTCCAAACCCCCTGTTCCGTTTCTCTCCGCAGTGCCACACTGGTGCAATCGGTCCCTGTTAACACCAACCAGTCCCTTAGGGAGCACAATCCCCAGTGGAAGGATATGGGGAGTCACAGGGGGCAGAAGTGGGTGACACAAATAACCCCATGCACATTGGAAGGAGAGGCTGAGCATTCCCATGGGATGCAGCACAATGCCCTTGGAGGTCATCTTCTCTTCCTGAGGCCCCAACAAAAGTGCCATTGTGTAGGTGAGGTAAAAACAGAAGAGCTCTATTGAAAAGAACAAATGACAGGGTAAAAAAGGCTGTGCTGCTTTGGGAGGAAGCCTTCCCAGCTCTGCCAGGTTGTAAAGGCTCCGGCAGCATCAGCAATCCCTTTCCCCAGCTCCTGTCTCTGATCCCAGGGCGGAAAGACAACCCCGTATTTCACCTGCATTAAACCCCCGAGCCCTGTCATTGGGGTCCAGCAGAGTAAGGCTGGGTCTAACAAAGCACAACAGCAATGAAGAGCCCTGGTGACAAAGGGGCCTCGCTAACACACCCAGCTGGAACTGCAGTGAGCAGCTCTGGGAGTGGGACTCGGCAAACCTGGGATTTATGGGGTAATGCTTCATGCTGGCAGGCAGGGTATTCCTCAAGCAGACAGCACGAAAGACCTTGTCCCAGGAACAAGATTATACCATAGGCTTCAAGTTGGTTTAATCCCTTCAAACAGCTATTTCCCCTTCTATTTTAACAGGTATTGATGCGGTCCCTCTGTTTAAGACCTTAACATGCTTCTATCTGCGTGAGCAGAGTGTTGCTTTTTGGATGTGGCACCACCACAACCAGCAGCAGCCAAATGCATCTGAACACCTGAAAGCCTCAAATCTCTACAAAGCCCATGTCTGCATCAACTCCGAATCACTTAACAAAACACGAGCATTGAGCATCACAAACGGTGGCTATGGGGGCTTTAACTGATCATTGATCACCTCCTATCAGCCCTCCTCAAGAATAACTCATGGAATCCCAGACTGGTTTAGGTTGGAAGGGGTCTCAAAGCTCATCCAGTTCCAACCCCTACCACAGGCAGGGACACCTTCCACTAGAGCAGCTTGCTCCAAGCCCCATCCAACCTGGCCTTGAACACTGGAGCAGCCATCCCCCAAATGCAGGTCTCATCCTGACTTAGGGCAATGTCAAAGCTGGAGGTGATAGGTCTGAGATGGATGCTTTTACATCAGTCAAATAAAGAGACAAATGAAGCGATGAGTAATACACAGGTGTTCATTTACAGACTCTGCACACAGTTCTTCACAGAGGACCTTATTCCACATAATGCAAAATGAGTCCAATGGAGATAAATGCAGTCCAGCACTGCAGAAATTCCACTAGTGCTGGTGACCAGGACAACAAGCGACTTTTGGGTATCACCTTGGTTGGTCAATGCAGGAAAAGGTGCAAGGGATGCACCTCCAGGATGCACAGAGTACTTTGCTTGGATCACAACCAGAAAGGAGAGCTAAACCACAATAAATCTGTTCTGCCTTTAAGCCACTGAGTGCAGGGTAAGATAATCCCCTTGTTTTCCGCATCGGTGTCCAGAACACTGCCATAGAGCAGGTTCCATGGGCCGAAATTCCCTGATCCACAGGTTTGCACTGTGCCTTGGTTAAACAGTTGCCTGCACCGCTCTCCTCTGACTCACTGCCTGCTCTGCAGGAGAGCTTCTCAGGCTAAAGCAACTTGAGAGCTTTATACCTACGCAGGAATGATTCACTGGTAGGAGTTCAGCCTCTCCTGGGTGGGGAAGAAAGGAGAACATCAAGACAACCCAAGCAGTCATCTCTTTGCTGACAGGTTAATGAAAAGCAGATCAAAAAAGCCAGGAGGGGTCTGATAAAGGACAAGCTGTCCTGCCAACAAACAGCAAGCAAAGGGGAAATGCTTTCTGACCCCCAAGCTAGCAACACCAATGAAGTGGGGATATGATGCACCTGAACCATTCACAGCTTGTGTCTCCACGTGAAGTGCTCAACAAAGGTCCTAGAAGTGAATTCAGATACAGCAGCATTCCTACAGGGCAGTTTTAAATGGTTGCTGTAGTCAGAGACAAGAGGTACCAACTGAAAGGCAACCAAAACTCAACACAAATCCTAATGTTCATCCATACGACTTTCCACTTGGGATTTAACCACTGTAAGTCAAGAAACAGGCTTTCCCAGAAGAACTAAGGGCTGATTTTGCTCAGGTCTGGATAAATCACAGGGCCTGAACCAGCAACAACAAGTTCTCCATCTCCATAGTGAGACTGGCTGCAAAAACCCCTCACCTGAGGTTGGACTCCTTGTGAAGCTTTGCTGGCAGCACGACTCTGTCTATTAGGAGTGAGAAGCAATCTCACACCCTTGGCTGACACAACTACACTGGACAACGTCTTTATGTGGTGGGAAGGGAGGGAAGGAAAAGGAATGTTGGTGCCAGGTCGTTTATTGTGGGTTTGGGCAGCTGCCATAGTCTATACCTCCCTGAGGAGCATTGATCCATCAAAGCATGCTGCTGTTACACCACCAAGCTTCTGTAGTAGAAGTGAGGCCTGAGATTCCCCTGGCTCTGATAAAAACCATCAAATAACAATTACTTCATTAAAAGCAGGGCAAACACTGCTCAGCCTAATGCCCAGACTGAAAAGGCACTTTGGGATATACTTTATGAAGCTTGCTCATGGAGAAATGCGCCAGCATCTGCTTCAAGGTACTTGCATGGCTCTTCCTGGCCACGATATGTCCTTCCTGGGTTAGGTCAGGAATGTACCTAAAGGGGCTGCAGGAAACCCAGAGAGGGGCTTTGGACAAGGAGTGTAGGGACAGGCCAAGGGGAATGGCTTGAACCTGCCCGAGGGGAGACTGAGCTGAGCTCTGAGGCAGAAGCTCTTCCCTGTGAGGGTGCTGAGGCGCTGGCACAGGGTGCCCAGAGAAGCTGTGGCTGCCCCATCCCTGGCAGTGCTCAAGGCCAGGTTGGACACAGGGGCTTGGAGCAAGCTGCTCCACAGTGGAAGGTGTCCTTGCCCATGGAACTGGATGAGCTTTAAGGTCCCTTCATCCCAAACCATTCCACAAGTCTCTGAGAAGAGCACTGTCTCCTGACTCCTTGGCTTTGAATCCTGGCAAACAAAGAGGAGAAGCCTGTTTAATAACTGAAGCTTTCCTATGCCCCCCCCAATCATCTTGTGCTTGCATTTTCCTCCCTTTTCCAGTAAGAAAACCCCCATGAAACAAAGTCTCCCAGAACAAAACACATTTCAAGTCTTGCACACTTACGGTGCAAGGCAAGTGCTTGCTCGGTGCCCATCCAATGCATGGTCCTGCATTTTGAACAGGATAATGGCAGCTTCCCATAGGACACTTTGCCAAGGGAAACCAAACCCATGCTAAACAAACACAGAACATCTGCTTTATCTCCAGTTGCTATCACTAATATGGTGGATTTGAACCTGACAACAGAGCACTTTCTAACACAGGGTTAGGAAACTTTGACTTTGAAAGAACATCTTGGAGGATGCGTGCACCTCGGCCACCTTTATTCCTCTTATTCTGGGTTTCTCTTATTATTAGCAGTGATCTTACAGACCCCAGAGCCCAGCCGTGTGGGGAGAGCGTGGTGCTAAGGTCAGGAACATGAGCTGAAAAGATACAACCAACCTGTGATACCCAGTCACAACATCAAAGCTGGGAAAAGGCATGGGGATGGCATAGAAGATGCTACAGGTAGGTATTACAAACCAGAAGCCAAATCCCTCCTCTCTGAAGAGAGATTTGCAGCAAGTCAAGCTATTCCAGGCTATTAGGCCTTCAGGATCCATCCTCCTCTAATATTAAACAGGGGGAGAAAGAGCAGCAATAGACTCTATTGAAGAAGATGAGAAGCCAGGGCTGGTTTGTCACTGTTTCCCCATGCTCCTGATGCTGCAGACACTCAGAAGTACACTTAATTGTGAGAGTGGACTGAGTCCAACAGGTTCCCCACACAGCATCTTCTCAAAAGCTCAGTAAATATCCATTGCTTCACACTCGGAGAGACAAGCTCTGTGGACCCACATCTTCCTGAAGAGAAGTTACATGAAGCCAAGAACTGAGTCACATCTCCCAGTTCTCTGTCATGTTCCTTAGCAACAAGACATTTTCCTCCCTTCCTCCTGCCACAGCACATTCTATTTTGGAAGCTTATTTATACAGCCCTAAAAGCCCAACCAGAATCTGGAACCATGCACCACCAAGCACCATCCGTCAGTCCTCGGACGGGAGGCTGGGTTTGAAGAAGGATCAACCAACACCACATCCATAATTGCACTCA